ACTTCGCGCGGCAACAGTTCTATTAAGCGGCATGAACGAGCTTTTATACTACTCATATAGGTCTCTGATGACACTGGAATCGGCTTTGCTGTAGTCCCTGGATGTCCCGTCCCCTCAAGCAACTAGGTTTCTACTTCATGACCGGTAATGGAAAGAGAGCAGATGAGAGACGAGGGGACAGTGGGTACGTTCTTTGTCATGCTTTTGCTTTCATGCTCATGGGATGTGTTCACGTCTCCTATCATGTCCATGTCTTTCAGACCATAGCATCTGCAGCTCTCTAATCTCAATTTGTAGTCTCACTATTATCTTTGATATGATACTTTAAGTAGGTATTCATTATATCTCGGTTTCCTCTTAATCCTCTCTCTCTGTCTGTAAGAGAATACCTAGGTCTTTTCTTTATGGCTGCCTTATTTGAAGAAGCTAATAAGATCAAGCACTCCTTGGTCATATTTATTCTTAAGTTTATATGACTATATCAGCGATACATGTACGGATGCGGGTATTTGTGATAATTATGAGAGCTTTAGACCGCTGTTGATATATACAGTTGGCCGGATTGGTTATATACAATGGATGCCAACCCCTCCTCCCCATCAATGATCATATCATAATTATACGAGGGACTAGCCCCTCCCCTTCCTCTTATTCCCCTACTACAGCACCCCTCCTGGCTCAATTTTGGGTGAAATCCGCCTGTACCTTAGTGCCATCGGGACCGGCAGCGCGAACGTCGTCTGCATCCGCTTTTCTATGCCGACTACATCGAAGAACCAAAGGTTAGCATGTTGTTCCTATATATCCTAGACAACGAACGAGTGATATACCGCTCGGTACAGTATCTCAGCCACCAAGATAGTAGGAGGACTCCCTCCCTTAGAACCAGGGCGAGAGTCACAACGCCGACGACTTTCAGGCCGAAGGCAAGGCCCTTCTCATCCACAAGTCGGACGAGCTCACTCACGAGGGATTCGCCCTCGCATTGCTGGAGGGGCACTGGGGCTAGAAAGAATGTTAGAAAGAGGCCAAAAAAGAGATCAAAAAAAGGGGATGAATCGCATTGATGGATATAGACCATCATTTCGATCCCCATCTGCATCAGTGTCCAAGCTGGTTGTCGAGCATAAGGCAAATGGTTTGACTTCTAAGATTGAGATTTTTTTCCTTCGTATAGGCCTCCGTCGGTCTTCGCGATATGCGCTAGGCCAACTAGAAGTGTACATGGAACACTAGGACATCTTGATGATATCTGATGTATTGGAATGATGCAGTTCTTGTGTGCTCCCCGACATTGTTTTGTAGACATGGGAAGTGACGGATGGAAGTGTAGGATTCTATAACAGAGATTGTAGTTACATGATATCGCGTCCTCTCTAATAACTATAATATAGGCACTGACTACGAGAGAAGGAAATGATCAACCAAAAGTGAGAATATGATGATGGATGGAATATGAAGATCTAGCTACTGCCATAAAGCTCTCTATACCATGGACCCGAAGCACTGCTCCAACGACATGTCTAACTGATTGGAAAAACCGGCCTTGAACTCCATCTTTATTTCCAGTGAAGACAATTTCTGGGACGGGATCTATAATATTCTTTCGACTGTAGCCTATAGCTGTAGAACTCCATTGTTGAGCCATATTCAGTAAGCCTGTATTAATCAGCTTCAATCGGTTGAATGAGGTCTGGTTTCGCGTGGGGAGCAAAGCCTACCGAGTTTCATGCAGCTAAGGAACGCTGATACGTGCTTGATAAACCCTTTTAATAGATGTGAGTTTCAAATGAGGTATAAGGGTGCCTTATAACAGGGCTTGATGGGGCGGCATTGGAAGAGCATAGTAGGAGTAAAAGTAAAATGATACCAGAGGTCCCTGGTGATAAAGTAGATATGGAGAGTGGGTTACGAAAGTAAACGGTAATGGTGGTAAATTGTGCTCTATGCTACAAAGCCACTAGATTCTACCCCCTAGAAGCCAGAAGAAGCATCTCTGCAAATATACAAAGAAAGTGCCAATGTAGCAAGCTGAACGGCAAGCTGCCTGCCAGAAAAGTGAGAGAAAGGGAAAGGAATGCCATAGTGAAGATTTATAAACTGTATAGGGTAACAGCGAGCACGTCAGAATGCATCAAACTATGTTTTTATCTCTTGAGCCGAAGAGGGAGTATACGGCACTCGGCGGCTCATATTTTTTACCGGCAGCTCTTGGTATTCCTTCCAGAAAATAGGAGGAAAATATTTAAAAAAGGAGTTAGAAGAATTATCAAAAGAGCTCCTAAAAGAGTCCAAACTTATCGGCCAGCATAAGGGTCAAAAAGAGAATAAAAAAGTATTGTAGAAAACCTTTTAGATATGGCAGTAGAATGATTCTAAATGATGTGAACGTGAAGTCCTTACGTGTGCTACGAAATTATTTTGTTGATTACAGGGGAAGCAATTGTTGTATGTCAAAACTAAGTTGGGTCAGGATAGTAATCCATATGTATGTATATTGAGTAAAATCTATCAAGATCTATAGATTAAACCCAATCAGCTAGTCGTATTCCTCTTTGTCACCGAATCCGTGTCTTCTGCAATCTGCCCATAGCTTGGTGGCATATTAAACATGTCAAACGGGCTGTTATATCCATCACCGATAAGCCCCTATATTGAGATACGCGTGATCTGGTGCCTGATAAATATAATTGTTGATCGTGCTCCAGTACTTTCTGATGAAGCCCAGTAATTCAAATATAGCTAGTCAACTGGATATGATTGGTCAACAGAGAGCGCGTCACGTGATTGCCCTAGTGACTTTTGTATCAGCTGAGGCCATCTTCTTTCGTTGGAGCAGTCACATACTAACAATGGACATGGATACAAAATCGAATTTCCAGGATGACTTACTGCGGAGCTACTCAGATACCGAGTTAGTTTCTCGCATCCATAGCTCCCCTTCGCCTGCATCCACCCGAGGAATATCCCTACTTTCGTCGAACTTTCTCTCAAAGTTCTATCGGCCGCACGAGGCAGAAGACATGATAAGGGCGACCGATATCGCTTGCCAACTAGGCATCCGAGTTCCCGCTCTGAAGAGGATAGTTAGGGATGGGGAAGATACGTACTGTGTTATGGACCGTATTCCAGGAAGGACGCTGGAGGAAGCGTGGACACAACTGAGCTGGTTTCTCACCATAAAGTTGGGTTTCCAACTTCGTCGCTTTATTCAGCATCTCCGATCAGTCACCTCACCCGTGGCCGGATCATTAGCAACGGGCGAGTGTCGGTCATTTTATCTCGAAGATCGGTATGGCCTACCTGCAAGATGCAGCTCTAGGGACATGGAGTACTTCTTCCGGTTTTGGATCAACTTCACCTCTATGAAAAAAGCAATGCAAACAGCAGATCAACCTGAAATTCCCACTCCCGAAGGACAAATGCTTTCAACAGAGCCCTTCGTCTTCACGCATCATGACCTCGCACCACGCAATATTATTCTTAGTCCGTCGGATGAGATTTGGATTTTAGATTGGGATCTTGCTGGGTTCTATCCGATCTATTTTGAATACGCGGGCATGCAAAATTTCATAATGCCCCAGCATTGGGGCTTTTTCGCACGTTTACGGTGGCACCTGTTCTCCTGGATAGCGGCCGGCTATTGGGGGCGTGAGGCTAGCATCCTAGAGCGCATGAGGTTTAAGTTCACCCGGTTCGCTGTTGGGCGACGATTCCACCTATTAAAGAATGGAGGACCAAGTAGATACCCTGCATCTTAGCCTCCTAAATATACATGGGCATTTAATAGCCCAGGTAAACTTTAGAAGTGTGTATATTCATGTGGTGCTAGCCTTGGCAATAGTGGGATATTCTCACAATAGATACGTACTTAGTGGAGAAGGATATGCAGGATGGGCAGTCTGGCCTAGCAAACAAGACGCGAGCGACGCAACAACACCACCATCCAAGGAGGTAAGCTAGCAAGGATAGGGATCATACAGACCTTAATAATCTTCCTTCTATCCTAGTGGAACCACATTCTGTAAAATCTTTTCATTCTGTGTGTAGTGCATAGGTGTGTGTTCTGCACGCTGCGCTCTATCTGACATGAAGGCCGTGGACTCCTACGTGGCCTTCTCAGTAAGCCTCTCCATCCTAGGAGTAGCCGATAAAAGAACCAATAGGAATGGCCGTAGACATTTCATACAGGCTATGGATTGGCTGGGCTGAATAGAGCATGAACTTTACAAAATGGGTTGGTGTCTTAATTTGGAATATTCAGCATGCCAGCAATACATGCGCATACAGGACACCTAAGCGTAATGAATGTGAACACGAGACAAGTGAGGCTTCGCTCGAATCATAGAAGTGGACGCAGCGATTTTGCAGCTACCTAGTTACCCCTAGAAACAGGTAAACGAATAGCAATCCTTCCACTGTCCCGGGCTGGGCCGCTCCATGAGTCTCGTGGCGTAGTTTGACTTTAAATGACCGGCCAAAAATGATTCAGATAAAGAAAACTGGTGCCTCAAGGAATACGTAACATCTGTATCAAGAGAGGCCTACGGAGAGGAAGATGTCGAGGTGCAGGGTTTCTTTGAGCAATGAGATGAGAGTTGTAGAAGTAATGTAAGTTCTAAGAATACCATGACATCTGAACAGTCTACTTTTAATTGACACCCGGACCTCTTCTATCCTTGCAAATAGTGCAGTTTCTATACACCGTGCTAGCTGATTCATTGGACATCTCGTCAAGTACTAACCAAAGCCGAAGCTGACGGTAAAAACAGCATTGGCACCTGGGGTATTGATCACATTCTCTATCATAGTTTTGCAACTGGCTAAGATATAAATGTCCGTGGTTTTCTTATGGATTTGAATAACCATTCTTCGCGCTCTCGCCGACCTGAAAAACGGGCAACTACTTACTGGTGTCTAGTTCATCATTCACAATCACCTTAGTAGGTGAACAACTATCCCTTCTAAAAGATTGAAATTTACTTACACGCTATATAGAAATGAATGACAACTTCGATGCGGATTATTTAAACCCAAAGGATCTCCAGGCACAAGTCTCACACATCCACATAAGTGGCTACATCAATCCAAACAACGAGGGCGACGAAGATGGAAATCCTCCAACCAACCACTGGGCTGCCTTCCTGCAATTTGGCGATACTGGCTCAGTCAGAATCGACATGGCACCTGGATATGGCGACGATGGATTAAGAGGGAAGATAGACATATCTTCCAAGTCTTACACGTCGACAAATAATGCGATCAAGACTTTGACCTTCACTGTGGAGGCCTACGCCACAGTTCAAACTATCACGGAATTGATTATCTTGAATGGACACGATAGGTACATGTTCACTGAAGAGTGGGAGGGGTGCAGATTCTGGATATATACCTTCATCGAAGATCTGGAATCTGCTGGCCTCATTTCCGAAGGGAGTGGGCAGACTGCCTGGGAAACTGTGTCTCTCTACTGGCAGAATCCTAGCGGATCCGAGCCCAGACAGATTTTACAGGGAGAGTTCTACTAGGAAGAAGGCCGTGGTTGCTTTTCAGAGAGTATTTAGGGACCATTCCCATCACGACAATGCACTCTTTTTGGGACATCGCTTCTATCATTTCCTGTGTTATATACAGTTCCTGTTTGATTACTCATTACTCCTATATTGCTATTTCCAATCATCGCACGACTCTAAATTTCGCCTATCTGTTCGACTCTCTGGTGGGTCCTTGGGGTTAGGATAAGAGAATAGTGACTCCCCGAGTGAAGTGTATACTCCGTGCAATGTAGTTTTGCACCTACATGAGTAGATGCTTCCTAGCTATTACCATGGCCCACTATAGTGACCTGGTGATCCGGCCAGCAAAACGCCTTATTTTACAGGCCAGCGCGCGAGCTCGTACCATTCTCGTCGCCCTCTTTCTTTTCTCTTGACTCAGAAATCTTCCGAGCATATAAACGAAGATATACACCGGACCTTGACTTGACGGATGAAGTGCAAATGCAAAATGAAACTGTCGGCTATCCCACGCCGATCGCCCTGTCAGATCCACATCGGGGAAAAATGCTACGCGAGAAAAACTAGACTTCGGCGACAGCTTCTACACGCCGAAGGGTCGCATACAAAATGTCCATTCTGTTGGATTATTTTCTGTGTACATAATTTCACTACTTTAGTCATGCAGGAATCTTCAATCAACCTTTTACATCGACTAAACACTATCTAATTCCACCCAACGCCTAATCATCATGGAATCCAGACCAGATCTTGAGTCCCAAAAACCAACCCCGCAGGTGGATTCTCCTCAAGAATCGGAATCAGAAGATGACCTGGCCCTAAAACCCCAGCCCTCAAACGCCCATGGCATACCAACATGGCGCAAATGCCTGATCCTGTTTGTCGTCAGCTGGATGACTCTAGCCGTCACATTCTCTAGTACTTCACTATTGCCCGCAACCCCGGAGATTGCTACCGAGTTTTCAACTACATCGGAGATTCTCAATGTCACCAATGCCGGCGTTCTAGTTGCTATGGGTTTTTCGTCTTTTATTTGGGGTCCTATCACTAAGCTATTCGGCCGTCGCAATGCATATAATGCAGCTATCCTTGTGCTTTGCGCATGCTCAGCCGGTACCGCCGCGGCCATCAATTTGCACATGTTTATCGCAATGCGCATTTTGGGGGGTTTTACCGGTACCTTCTTCATGGTTGCTGGGCAGACTATTCTTGCAGATATCTTTGAACCGGTACGTTTTTTTTTTAAAATAAAAAAACCCCCACACCAAAAACAAAAAAAAAAAAAAAATAAAAAAAGAAAAAAAAAAAAAAAAATTTAAAAAAAAAAA